GCCTGACTGCTGTGTTCAAAGCAAACTTGAGAAAAACGAAGTATGCAACCATGGCTTAAATCCACTTTCGGCGGAGTACTAGTTTACCTTCGATGGGTACTTTATAATGTTAAATTGCTCTGTTTTGATTCCATAAAAAGAGCTGTTAAAGCAGCTGTTGTGTGACAAAATATTTTTTTCACTGTTGTTGATGGACAGTCATATTGTGTGAGCGATTATGTGTGAATAACTGCTCCAAGTGAAAAATGTTCATGTAAAATTGAAAATCAAAAGTGTTATTTCAGTAAATATTTGCATTTTGCACATAGAAAACTGATTCATGATTCCATGTTGATGAGAGCATTAAAATGGGGAAAAATTAGACAAAAAATATAAAAGGAAATTCAGAAATTATAAAAAAAATGCATGGGTACATGATTAATTTTTAGCTAATTTGAGTTAATTATGACAGTTGCGTTTTTAATTAGATTAAATATTTTAATCGTTTGACAGCTCTAGGATATACACAATGCCTCAATGAGGCTGTGGACTAAAATTCTGGAGTCTCACTCAAAGCCAGTTGCACAGATGAATATCAAATGTGGCATCATCCAAGAAGATGCTGTGTTCCCACTGCTGTTCTGCATAGGTCTGAATCCACTCAGACAGATCATAACCAAGAGTGGTTTTGGGTCCCGGTTCAAAAGTGGGACAACAGCCAACCACCACCTCTGCATGGATGACATCAAGCTGAATGCTTAGAACGAGTGTGACATTGACCAGCTGATTCACCTCACTGTCCAACAACGTCCAATTGTTGAAGGTCTAAGTACTTTTTGTACAAGTTGCCATCCTCTAACCAGGAGCTTAACGGCAGAATTCATGGCAGGCAAACACCTGGTCATGGCACCAAGACGAAACCAAACAATGGATCAACAGTGCCTTGCCATTATGGTGCTTCTAACAGGACGTTCTTAGACCTAGGTGGCTGCTAAACAGAGTGTCACAGAGTGTCATCAGCAGGTTGCAACAAGATAATGAGAGACTGGAAGGGGTACAGAAAGATGTGGAAGTGGACGTCCTTTGGCCACATCCCATGCTGATTGTGCTACATTGTGAACAATGCCCTGAGAAACCGGATGATGAATGCCACTCAATTCCAGGCACATTTAAGGGAGGTGAGAGGAAGCCACGTGTCACGACAGACCATTCCAAACTTTACATCTAAAGAGATTTTGGTCTGTTTATTAACACATTGGCTAAACCCCGGTGGAACGAAAAAAGA